TTACCATCAAACCAAAACATCAGCTTTAGCACAAATGTGTAAACCACCTACTAAGCTCATGATTCGGGTCTTGATCTTTTGTCACTTTTGAGTGTCAGCAGCCTGCAGGTACAGCACAATATGGACAACACAACAGTGAGGAGAAACTACAATTATGTCAGCCAACTGCTAGAACAAGCAAAACAACAGCAGAGCATGTAACCAGAACAAAATTCCTGCACGAAAAAGGAAAGAAAAAGCAAAAGGTAAACTAACTACGCCAAGCTAGTAAAGAGGAAAGGTCAGCAAGAGGACCCAGAAAACTCGCAAGAACCGAGAACACAAGACAGCAAAACCCCATCTGTGACAGGCAACAACAGATTTGGTGAGATACTGCCCGCCTATGCATGCTAGGCATCATCACACATGCACAAATTCTCCGCCTCAGATGAAGGTTATGTCCGCTTTACATGGCTGCACTTTTCTTGGCTATCCTCGAAAGCGTTGCGGTTTACTCGGTTGGCTGCTGCGTCCTTTGGACTGGCGCTGATGGATGGTCACGGATGTTCATGCGATCAGTCTGAAGCAGCTGTGCTGTTCAGTTGTAGATCGGCCTTTCGCTGCTGGCTGCCGTGTGGGGAATTGACATGATGTTACAAGCTTGTTGGTCTGCTCAAGAGTTGTTTTGGTGTGGCCATCCGTGGATGTCTCGTGTTTGTGGGATAGTATGCGGCTTTAGTTGCCATTTATGCAGACAGGCCCACGCAGGCTCTGCGATTTGTTCAAAGATAGCAGCATCTTCCCAATTAATGATGGAGTCATGCGACATTGCCTCGTTGGTACATATCCTCGCATGGCATGACTAGTTTGGTGCGCAAATGGTGGGCCTTTTGCCTTTGGGGGTTGAATTAGGATTTGGGAGATTTTTCAGATGAAAGTTCCCTGCTCGACTGGGTCGATCTAGCAATGTCGGTGTTGCTTTTTGCATCATGTTCTCGTTGGAGGCATTGTTAGAGGTCCCCTAATCTCCGTGTTTTTCATGGCTGAAAAAACTAGAGTCGGTCTTCGGGTTGGACGGTACGGGCGCTTAAGAACGTGTCACAACCTCCCTTGGAGGCATCAAGTATTGAAAAACCCCCCTCTCTGGGGGAACAAAGTTCGCCTCACTCGCATAGGGTGTTCCTTTCGTCACAAGCAAGGTTTAGGTTTCTTCAGTGATTGTCGCCAGTGAGTTTGTAGTGTTATGTCTTTGTAACCTTCTTTCTTTATCAAATACATGCCTGGCAAAGCTCTGTTTGGCAGCTCGTAAAAATGTTTAGTGAGCAAATAGTTTTGCTTTCTCCACCTGGCTGCTGTGCCATCGCGATTGGCTACGCTTCTCGCGCATGTAATAGACGTTGACTTTGGTTTATTCTGCTTATTATTAACATGACTTCAAGCCAGGCAACCAGATCTAAAAAAGGCTTTAGCACAACAAAATAAAACCACCTACTGAGCTCATGATTCGGTCCTGATCTTTGTCACTTCGAGCACACAGCTCATATAATGTAAATAGGAGCTTTTAATTGGTGCCATTATAAAGATAGTCCCGACCTATATGCCACTGAAAAGTTTAAACGACCCGGGTGCCGCTGACGCTTAAACTTCTCTTGTCCTTTCACGCCCACCCTCATTCATTCTTCTCGACATTTGGGTTCCACCAGGAAATGCAAATGCCCCCGTCTCCCAATCCATCCCCACGAATGTCACCGGCGCTCCTGCGGGTCCTGCCTCCGGGCGCTTGTCAAGGCCGGTCAAGCAGCCCGCCCTTGTTGCCGCGGACGCCACGCCGCGTATCCTCGCCCACTGCGGGCCTTGCACGCAGTCTTCGCTGCAGCCGCGTACCGCTATTACTTGTCGGGCCGCTTTTGCGGTGTCCGGACAGCTCGCGCCCGAGCACCGCGGGACAATTGGCGCGGCCGTCGGGTTCCAGCCGCGGTCTTCTTGCAGGATGGCCCGCCCATCGGTGGGCGGGGCGCCTGCGGCACAGCGCTTACGCATTAGCTGCCGAAGGGAGGACGCCTGCCCGCTGGGCGCATGGGCGCTGGGCGGCGCTTCACGCCGCGTAGTGCGTGCTGGCGGCAGCGGTGGCTCCCGCGCGGCGTGGCCTATGGCGGCGTATCACAGCGAGCGTGACGCCGCCGACGCCGAGCCACCGGGTCCATTGGCATGCACTCGCGACTTGTGCGCCATCTTCAGTAAAGCGCCAGGCACGCTGCTGAGTAGTATTTCACCACGCCGCACCGAGCCTGCACTGCCGGGGAACCGCGCCGCCAGATCGGGTCAGCCCGCGACAATGCCATGTGCGCACACAGCCGCAGGCCGCTTAGCTGCCCTCTCCGAGGCCGCCAGCGTCCCGGTTTGTTACCACCAGCTGCCGGGTGCTGTCGCCACTCACACCCGGCGGAGCAGCGATGCTTAACCAGCCAATAAGGAATCGGTTGGCCGCGGTGCAGCGTGCCGCCGCAGCGCGCTGGCCACCAAGTTGCTCGGAGGCACGAAAGTGCCGACGCTTGCCGTCATTGCCCCAGCCTCTCCGCCACCCGCGAGGCGGAGGCAGCACCGTCGGCTTGGAGCTTGCACGCGGTTCGCCGATGAGGAGGCGCCGCCCGTCCAAATATGGGCCGGTGCATGCCAGAAGCCATCTCGGGAGGCAAGGGTCTGGCCAAGGAGGTCGCGGTGTCCTTGCCGCCAAGTGAACCGATCACGCTGCCAAATAGTAGAGCCTCGGTGCCCGCCCACAGCGCTGCTGCCCGCCGCTTATCGCGGCGCCAGCGCCTGGAGCCGCTGCTTGCTCCAGCGGGGGGTGCGACCGAGACGCTGGGCGCCTAACCGCCATGGAGCCAGGAGAGGAATGGCGTGCGCTTGGCGGCCGTGTGTGAAGAGAACAACTTTTCTACCACGACGACGCGCAGGTAGATGAAGATAAAAGGATGAGGAAGAGCGGTGGTTCGGTCGGGATCACATTGCAGCTTGGCCCTACTAGCCTCGAGAGAGAAAGGGAGAGGACAAGGTTATAAGAGAAGGGTATTATGGACATTATCACTGGTCGGGCCCAGATGTCGTGGCACAAACGGTGGAAACTTAAACCGGGGCTTAACGGAATGACGTGGAAGAGAAGAAAGTTTAGCGCCATGGCACTGCTCGAACTTTTAATGGCCTGTAGGTCAGGACCATATTTTATAATTCAGACACACGTAGTAAAGGCTTCTACAAAATAGCATGGACAACAACAGTGAGGAGAAACTATAATTATGTCAGCCAACCGCAACGAGCAAACAGCAAGGGCATGTAACCAGAACAAAATCTTGCACGAAAAAAAAAAGGAAGAAAAGCAAAAAAGTAAAACTACATGTCAAGTTAGTAAAGAGGAAAGGTGAGCAAGAGGACCCGCAAAACTCGCAAGAACTGAGAAACACAAGGCAGCAAAACCCGTCTGTGATTGCGGGCTATCGCAGACCGGTAAACACCCGGCCCGTCGTCTATGATGTAAGCATCCTCACACGCACGAATTCTCCGTGTAATAAAGTTGAGAAGTCCGTCTGCTACTACAGATGACCCTGGCAGTCTGGCACAGTGTCTGTGAGACGTAAGACGTTTTGATACGTTGAAAGCAAATTCTGGTTCTAGGCACCTTCGGCTTGGTGATGAACTCAAAGCATTATGTGGAAAATAGGGTAAATCTTTGTCCGTTTATCCGGAATCGCGCGTGCTTGATGTGATCGAACTGCGCGGCTGTACGTCAGTTAAGTCAGTCGTTGGCTTGTAGTTGGCACTAGTCCAACGATTTGGAAGGGAAAGATGTACTCCGTGGTCGCCGTGCTCGATCGTGTTGCTGTTGCCCTCGAGAGAAAGCGACAGCCGCGCTCAACTTTGTCTAGCAAGATGGAGACCCATACCGTTGACGGCCTCCTCCTCGGATCGATACGTGGTCTCCTCTAGTCGGTTATACTATTATCTCTTTATTAATTATTAGCCGCCTTACATTTTGGCATTTTGCCCGCGCGCGTGTGTATAAATGAACGAGCCCCGAGAGCGTAGCTTGTTCATTCACAAAATCACAACCAAGGCTTAATTAGTAGGCTGCTAGCTCTTGGTCTGTGTGTTTTTTAAAGCCTCTCGTCTGGGTACAGTTATAGCATCTATTCAAACACTGCGTGGCCACTGCCGCCGCTAGCCACTCGAGCTGAGGCTCGGTCTCTTTGGTCTGTGTAGTTGCACCAGCAGCCCAAAAACATATATAGCCGATCAGCGTAGCCACCGTCACAGTTTTTCTTTCCTTCTTCCCCATCATCATTCGGAGCACGTAAATCGGCTGCGGGAGACTGGCTATCGACGCGATGTCCAAGGTAGTAGCCAAGCAGGCCTTCTGTTTTATTTGCTTTTACTTTGATTCGCCATGTACGTGTTCCCATACATGTAAAAAATATTTGATTCTCACTTTTAAGAAGCCACAATTTTAGATCGATCTGACCAAATTTATAACAAAATACTAACATTTATGACACTACAGTAAATAATTATAATTCAACTAACCATGAAATGTATTTTTACATAGTAAAAAATATTTGAACACATAAAGTTATTTTTTATATAAATTTAGTCAAACTTGAGGAAATTAACTTGGTTTAAATTTAGAATTATATAATCTTTTTTGGACTAACGAAGTATGTATATATGAACTTGTGTCCTGCCAAAAGAAACTGATGGTAGCTTGGGCTCGTCGTTGTTGTTGCAGCAAAAGACTGTGATCAGGCTAAAGTGCCGAACTCCAAGAACCGGTCTAAAGCCATGCAGCTGGCATCCAAATTTGTCGGTACACACCATCACACTAGCTTGCTAGCTATTACTATCTTGATTATCGAACTTCGTGATCCGTCCACATATCCATGAATACACTCTTGTGCATGAGTACTTAGCACTGCGCGCCTCGATGTATGATGTATATGCAGGAGTGACCTCGGTGGCGACCGCCGGCGAGGACCGGCTGGAGGTGGTAGGAGAAAGCGTCGACATCCCCTGCCTGATCAACCGCCTGCGCAAGAAGGTCTGCCTAGCCGACATCGTTTTGGTGGAGGAAGTGAAGGACAAGAAGAAGGAGGAGGAGGAGAAGAAGAAGAAGGAAGAAGAAGCCAAGAAGAAGAAGAAGGCGGAAGAAGATAAGAAGAAGGTGGAAGAAGCGAAGAAGAAAGCGGAAGAAGAGCTCAAGAAGCTCTGGGGGGCGTGCCCGCCGCCGTACTACGGCGGTTATTACCGCGGGCCGCCGCCGCCGACGCCGACGCCGACGTTTGTATGCGAGGAACAGCCAGAAGCAGGCTGCCACATCATGTGAACTGAAGCTACGCACTACTTAAAGATGGAATTTTGCCCGGCGTATATATATGCTTAATATGTTTGTGTTTTTGGTTCTGAACTTTTGCCACGTCGGTCGGCTTCTCTCCGTCAACCGTGCTGTACTGCTGTGCGCATGTGCACAAAACGTGGTTCTGGTTTGCTTTGGCTCTTCAGTGATCACGCAGTTATTTAGATCACGACTATATATACGTATTTCTGAATTTGTTTTAAGTTAAAATATTCTTAATTTGACCAAGTTCATAAACGAAAGCATTGACACCTACCACATCCTATAAGTAAGCTATGAAAGCATATTTCATATAAGAGGTCAATGATGTAGGGGTGAAAACGGTGCGGATATTTTCTCGACCGTATTCGAGACCGAATCCGCTTAGAGGGTTCAGATCTGTCCGTATCCGAGTTCGGATATTAAATATTTGATATTGTATCCGTATCCAAATACTTAAATCGTATATTTATGATGTCGATATCCAATCATATCCTATCCGCATGGTTGACACTATCCGTATTCAATTGAATCCGGACAGAAATACTGAAAACAAATGTAATATCGTTGATATCCGTCCAATCCGATCCGCTTTTCATCCCTAACGTGCTCATTTGAATTGTAAGTACTTCCTCCATCCTAAATTATAAGTTTTTCCAACTTTCCTAAAGAGTCAAAGCATCTCAAATTTAACTAAATCTATATACTCTAGTAAAGTTAAACCCCACTAGATGTTATATCTCTTTATGCAAGATGTTCGTGATCATTCCTCACTAAGTGCGCCACTAACTTGCAATCCTTTAAATCGCACGAGCTATCCATGTCATTCCTTATGAATTATAAAATTGTTCATATGATCTCTATGTGCATTACTTTTAATCTTTAATCTATCAACTTAAAAGTAATCTGCATATGCTATTTGTTTCATCATCCTATCCTTCTATAATGTGATGGCTTTTCTTCCATTTGCTTACTATTTTTTTACCAAAGCCGATGAAATAAACTAACATGCAAGCTCAGCTCATAATATACAGACAGAGCATGCAAGGCACCACCTAGTAATGCTATATATATAACAAATTTATTTATAAGAAAGTACCGCAACAATGTGCGGAGTATTCTTCTTGTTTATATAATAAAATAATAACATTTATGATACCATGTAACACCCTAAAATTTGCAATATTTTAAAGTAGGAGAATTTGATCTATTATGTATTTTTGTGGGCATTTGAATTTAGGAAAATAATAATTTTGTTAAAAACTAATAAAATCAAATATAGGTCAACAAACAAGTATGTGCATTTATGCTGCTGCATATCATTTTGTATTTCTTGGTTTGAAGTCAGATTTTAAATTGATTTGAAATTTGCTTTGAAAATTAGAAAAGGAAAAATGAATTTTCCTTCCTCCTTTCCTTCTTTCAGCCCAGTCGGCCTGCCTCTTTTTTTTCGCTCAGACTGTTTCCCGTCCATGCCCAGGCTCCGCCACAAGACCTGCCAAGCCTCTGGCGGCTTGCCTCCTTTGCTCCATTGTGCGGCCCAAAGCAAAGCAGCCCAGCCGGAAGCCAGTCCATGCCGCAAGGCTCAGTGTTCTCCCCTCCGTCTCGGCCGACCGCCTGGCCCACCTGTCGGTCACCGTCTTCCTTCGGATCATGTCCGAGCCGGACACCACCGCCGTCGTCGCCATGAGTCCGCCTCTGCTACGAGCCTCGTGGCGTGCCTCCCAAGTTAGCCCCGCCTCATAAATACCGCTCGGGCCTGCGTCGCCTCCCTATTCCGTCTTAGAGCAAGATTTCGCCGTCGCATTGAGCTCGCAGTCGCCTAGCCCTAGCGCTGTCGGGTTCAAGCCGCTGTTGCGCGCCGTCTTCGCTTCCCCGCTTGGTTTTTTGGTTTCAGTGAGTTCCCCATCCTCTCCTCTCTCTCTCCTGGATCTCTCCGTTCGGAAAACCGTGCACTGTAGGCTCTAAACCGACATCGCCGGTGAGTTTTTGCCGTTCCAGCCATGGCGCCGCCGCGTCCGTCCTATTCCGGACGGCCGCTGTCGTCTTCTCCCCACCTGATCCAATCCCAGCCGTCTAAATCTAATCCAGCGGCCCAAGATCAAGGATACCCCTTCGCTGGCGTTTTTGCAAAAAAAACCCCTTACAATTAATTAGATCTTAACTCGCAGTCCATAGCGTCTTTCCCAATTTCGTTTTCTTCTTTTGAAAGCGTACTTTGTTTCTGTTAGATCTGAAATACATTTTTTAGCTATTTACAGTTTTACCACTAGATTTGTTTAGGCCATAACTTTTTCGTTTTAACTCCAATTTGATCCGTTCAAGTTGCATTAGGTTCATAATTCCATAATCTACATGTTTATACCACTGCTAAGTATGTTTTCAACTTTTAAAATTCGAAGTTGGATTTAATCTATTATTTTACTAAAGGAAAACTTGTTTAATTCATAACTTCTTTGTTTTAGCTCCGATTTTTGTGATCTTCATGTATGTGTGTTCGTAGTGAGACCTAGATTCGTTTTACAAACTTTTCATCTTGATTTTATGATGTTTGGTGTACTGTTCTAATCTATAGCTTTTGTTTGCTATGCATGATTGCTTCTGGATGCTTGTATGTTGCTGTGATTATCGAGTATAGACGGTGAGCAATTCGTGGGAGACCAAGGGTATTACTTTGACGAGCAGGATCAACAGGAGTACTTTGTTCAAGGCAAGTATAGCATGAGATCATCCTTGTTTCCTATTTACTTTAATACATTAAATTCATGTTGCATGTGTCACATTGATAGGGATTCCCTAGAATTGAACTTATACCTTGTCACCTACGGGATATGCATTGGGTAGCTTTGCTAGTGCTCAATTAAACCATGATCTTATAACTTGACTAATGGTATATGCAATAAACATTAAAATATGACTTTTTAGCAACTTAGAAACAAGGGGCTGGAGTGTTTAGCTACTTTCTAAATGCTTTAGATTTCTCTCCCTGAGGACTTATCTGTAAGTGATCATCTGGGACTTACAGTATAGTTGTGAGGGCTACATGGCTCTGGCTTTAGCTCAGCATGAGAACCTTTTCTAGCTTGTTAGATGTTACCTTTATGGCACAAGAGGGGTGTGTTCCGGGATGGATATAGTGTGGCCTCTGTCCGTTAGTGTATAGGTTGCGCGTCATTGTGCCTGTCGGAAGGGGAGCCCTACATTCACAGGCCACAGAAACCTAGCGGCCCTAACTTGTTAGATGAACCTTTGAAAGGCTTCATAGTGACCCCTGCCTGCTCACCTTGGAAGTGTTTTGGGTGTTGCAAACCCGGGCATATGGGTATCACGACTCACAGTGAAAGTGTACAACCTCTGCAGAGTGTAAAACTAGTATACCAGTCGTGCTCATGGTCACGAGCGGTCTTAGAACATTTACGGAATAGATGAACACTAAGAAATATATGTTTATGCTATTCATTATTCATGTTTACTTTGATCATGTGTTTTACTTTGGGAATTGAAACAACTTGTCGCTACTCTTATGCTAAAATTGTGACAACTAAAAGCTAAACACTGTTAAACCTGTGTCAAGCCTTTTGAGCCTCATGAACCCCATATTACACTTGTTGAGTACGACATGTACTTACGCTTGTTTATTTTCATTATTTGGATAAAAATTCTGGATGGGTAACAGATGGCTATGGTAATGATGACTTCCCTGAGGATTACTAGACTTATGGTCAACCAGTTGACGTCCCTGTGATATGGAGCTTCCGCGAGAGATATTTTCTTTATACTACCGCTACATTTATATGAAGACTCTGTCTTATTCGTGATGTAATAAACACTCGTGATGATACTATTCACAATTTATCGGCTTATGTGTGTAACTGATCTTTAGGCGTACATAAGATTTGTATCCCATTTTATCCTTAAAATCGGGTGTGACAGATTGGTATCAGAGCTATGCTGACTGTAGGATGCAAGCCTAGTTAGCAATGGTCGTTTTAGCTTCTTTTGCTTCACTTATTTCATGCTTTGCATCTCACCCTTGTTATTTGCTAAAATTTTATGCTTCTTTTGCCTTACTCTATTATAAAAATTATTGCTTCTAATCTAACTAAATCTAATTCTATAGATGCCTCGTGCCAGTAAGACTACCCAGTGACAATTCGGAGGTTACTACCCGCCTCATGGTTTGTCCATGGAGACTGAGGAGGAATCCTAGGAACAAGAATTTAATTCGCCAACACCTATACCTACGCCTGAGCCAATCCAGGAAGAACCCGAAGAGGTAGAGGTCGTCTTACTATCCGATGATGATGATGAGGAAGACGCTGCTGAAGAGGATGAGCCGATCCGCCCCTAGGATGGACTACAAAGGTCTGGTATAAGCCGGGTGTGAATCCTTCGCTTTTGCACCACCGACTTATGGGAATTCTTCGACCTACTACGGTGATTGGGATGCAACTGTGGAGTACATCTACAACAAGCACACGCACCCTCTAGAGGACACCTATTGGAAGACCAGGTGTGCATCTCCATCAAGGATGAACAAAGGGCGCATATCAACTGGATTCAAACTATGCGCGTCACGCTCACTTGTGCCACCATGGAGGATAGCATAGAAGATGCTGCCATTTGAGCTCGCATGGGTCTTCGTGGTCGTCGATTTGAGGATATGAAGGATGACCAATATCGATTCCTCCCTCGCCAACACCCTGAATTGGAATGGGCAATGATGGACCCACAGGGCATGGATCCAACCCAAGTGATGGTACACTTTGGCTATGAGTCCGTAGTAAAGATTCGTCGACTGAAGGATCAGTTGAAGGCACAGTAGGAAACCATTAAGAGACACCAACAGGTGATAGATGAGCAAAGGGTGTGCCTCAACCTACCAAAGATGTACAAAGAGCTTCCCCATAAACCTCGTCCATAGATGTTGGAGTCCCTTTTATGTAATAAAACGATAGTAGAACGAGTCAAGTTGAGTCTAGTAGAGTCTA